AAAACCTTTCCTTTCTGGTGTGATGGTAAAACACAGTGGTTAAGGGAGGTGGAAAAGCGAGCAAAAATCAGCTCAAGAAGAAGCTTCCTATTTCTATTAACTGATGAAATTAAATACTGCAAGGGCAGAGTTGCCGGTAATGGATCACTAGCTCACTTGTAAGAATCCCACATTCACATGACTAAGTGAAAGCACCAGTGAAATCTTCAACCGGCGGAGGGTTGAGATGTAACGATGCATGGTGAAATCTGGAATACTAAAGTTTACGTAATTGTTCATGCCTTCAGGGTTTGATGTTGCAAAAGAAAAAGGATTTTAAGAGTAGGAGACTTTTTTTTTTTTTTTTTTTTTTTTTTAAGAGAGAGAGAGCATACGTGTGTGGGTGCAGGAGGGGCAGAGGGAGAAGATGAGAGAACCTTAAGTAGGCTCTGCCAGATGCCAGACTCCATCTCACAACCCTGAGATCACTACTTGCACCAGAATCAGAAGCCAGACACCTAACCTAGTGACCCACCCAGGCACCCCTTAGGAGACCATTTTTAAGAGAAAGCAAGAAGCATTTGTGACGAGCAGGCAGCCCTTTACTTCTTTGCTTTGTCCCAATGTACGTGCCCATGAAGCTGGTTCACAAGGACACAGTAGAGAAGGACCCTGAGCTGTTAGCCTTCAGTAGGCCGGGAATGGATATGTAGCTCTGGCAAGGATGTCTTGCTTTCTTGCAGAGAAAGCCTCGGGGCCTAGCAGAGTGCCCAACACAATGTAGGTGGTCAATAAGTATTTTTGAGTGACTGGTGAATGGAGTAGCCAACTGAAGCCATGACCACATGTTACTGCGTATTTAAAAGAAAAAAGAAACACGGAAATAAAATGAGTAAGTTACTATATGGAGATTTATGGATAGTTGACATTTTACAGATAACATGATTCTCTTTTAAAGAGGGGGAGCAGAGGGCGAGGGAGAGAGAGAATCTTAGACAACAGTCTCCACATCCAGCATGGAGCCCGACTCTGGGCTCAATCTCACAACCCTGAGATCAGGACCCTGAGCTGAAATCGAGAGCAGGTCATTTAACCGACTGAGCCTGCCAGATTACATGATTTTAAAGACCCCTTCTAGTGCTCAAATTCTGCACCATTTTTTAAAATAACAGGCTGAATTTTCTTATCACGAGACATGTTTAAGCTCTAATCTTTAAGATATTCTTTAGGAGGGAAAAAAACAACAACATTCTGTGGTTGTCTTTGAAAGACTTAGAGAAGCTCCAAGCCTCGAGAAGATGATGATAGATGATGGTAGAAAATTTTCTGTTGGTGGAATTTGGAAGAACATGAGCGATGTCGTTCTCCTGATACAGCAGGGCTTTACTGAGTTAAGAGCTTGTTTTAAAATAATCATAACGGGACTGCATGCGTGATGAAAAAGCTTTGTCTTGGGGCCCGTTTATGTCTGAGGGTACTACGGGCACGGGAGTGCCGTGGCGTCATGTGTGTGAGCGCTAGATGAAAGAGGTTTCAGAGTACTGTTCCCGGCGCCTAGGGACAGCCACTGCGCACACAGACCCCAAGCCAGGGGACAGTGCAGAGTGTGTGTGGCCTTGCCTTCTGAGCAACCAGGCCCCGCTGAGCACACACAGCCCCCAGCAACCTGCCACCCAGGGCCTTACACTTTATCACACTCCAAAATCATGACTACAGAGGGCTGAAGACATTGACCTTTGGTCAAGTACACATTTCTGATTATTTGAAACAATGTCAGGTAAATAAAATATAACCTCTTGATTATGACCGGTGCTGCAGAAGGGGCAGAGGGAGAGGCTGGGGGTGGGGGGCTGGAATCTTCATAATGACCTAAAAACCCACAAGGCATTCTGGACATCAAACGTCAATGGCAAAGTACCACTTTGATGAGTTAAGTGTAAATGAATCAGAACCAGATGGATTAAATTCCCCTTGAAATATACACAGGATTAAAAATTAAGAGAAGTAGTGCTAGACACAATGGGTTGTTTGAAATGTGAGTCAGAGCATGGGCAACGAATAAACAAAATCCCCTAGAGATGTCTGACAGCTCAGTGAGTGTGCTACCCACCTCTAGGTTCTGAATTCTAATTTGGCACCGTGAGTGCCCAGAGAGAGTTTTGTGTGTATGAATCTAAAAATGTTTACTGGAATCCGGAAAGCAGGCCAAAGGGGACAAAAAAATTCTTTCAACATTTTATTTGCTTGCTTAGGTAAATAAGATAACATGGAATGTCACAGAACATGTTTATTAAGTTACCAGCGGGTACGAGTGAACAGTTGCATATGTGTGCACACAGGCGGGCCCAGGCACTTAAAGACACGTGATCATGTTTGACAGATCTTAATAGGTGCTTAAAATGCACGCACACACACACAAAGGCATCCACATGTCCGTGTGATGCATCCTGGGCCTGATGTGTGGACCAGCCCTTCAGAGAGATGCTTTTCTTAGTGATTACTCACCGACATGTGACCCACCACAGAGGCTGCCTGTCCCGCTGGTGATGGCAAACAGGGCTGAGCTGTGGCCCTCCTCGAGCAGAGGCCCAGCATCTCAGTGGCCCCTGGATTCCACGCACAGGCGGCCAAATAAACAAACATGGGGTTCCAATTTTATGCCTAGTAGCCTCGGCTGTGTTCCTGCAACAGGGTTCTCTCTGTTTATTTACTCTCAGTTCCGCAAAGCTCCCTTAAGGATGTTTGAGGCGGAGGTTTTAGGTTCCCAGACAGTATGTGGAAGAGGTAGTGACTCTTGTCTTACTAGCACAATGCAGAAAATATCTGTTTATGCAAGGATATGACACCCAAAGCACAGGCATCAAGAGAAAAAAGAGATAAATTGGACAGACGGCATCTGTCTAAATGTGGAAACTTCTGAGTATCATAGGGCACAATTCACAGACTGAAAAGGCCACCCATATATTGGGAGAAGGTATGTGCAAATCATAGGTCGGATAAGAAGCTAAAATCTAGAACATATAAAGAACTCCTTTCAGTAAACAACAACAACCAAAACTCCGGTCTGATTACAAATGGACAGAGGACTTGAATAGACATTTCTCCAAAGAAGAGATCCAGATGGCCAACAAGCACATGAAAAGAGGCTCCACATCACTCATCATTCGGGAAATGCAAATCTAAATCATAATGAAATGCCATCTTGTGCCAATAGGAAGGCTACAAACAACAAAACCAGAAAATAGCAAGTGTTGGTGAGGCTTACTGAGCCCTTACTCTGTCCCAGGGGCTATACTAGGAATTTTGTAAATCATATTCTGTGAGATAACACTAACACGGTATGAGAGACTGGATTCCTCCCTTTTACAGCTGAGGAAGCTGAAGCCTGCAGAGCAGAAGCGACCCAGTCAGTTTTGGAGTCAGTGGACCAGTGATCTGACTGCAAGAAAAAACTCTCGACCTATATGCTCTACTGTTTCTAAATTATGTTCTACGGTCACTGACAGGACTTTCTAAATTATGTTTTATGATCACTGAAAGGACTTAAAATGGGCTCAGAAAGCAGATCGTCAGTTATCGAAGTCTCTATAACCAGAACTTCCTCTTACCCTAAGTAAGCAAAAAGTTTTCAAAGGAAATAAAAGGAGGTCGTGTACATTTGAAGTAGAGGAACCACAGAACTGGAAGGGACCTTAGAAGTCACTGAACTTATTTCTTGTTGCAAGAGACTCAGACAAATGTTTGCCCAGCTCTTCCTGAGGGTGCTCAGCTCGGCGGTACTCACGACCACACGCGCGGAAGCTGATGCTGGGATCAGACGGCAGGGACTGGAGGAACGCTCTCATTTCTTCTCCAGTCTACTTTGCAGGGCCACAGGATACTATAACCTCTGCACCACGAGATGATTCCCACTTACCATGTCCACTTTGGTCTCCCCATCTGACTCAAATGCAAATTATCCCTGGCATCATTAGAGGCAGCATAGTACAGGGGAAGGAGTGGAGATGTTACAGTAAGGATGTCTGTTCAAATTCTGGCTTAATCACTCATTACTTAGGAGATCCTAGGCACGTTAACTATCTTCTCGGGGGGTCGGTTTCCACATCTTCATAAAGATTTATAGGACGGCTCTGACGGTCAGGATGAGCTGATAGACACCGAACTCTAGCAGGCAGTAAGCACTCAGTAACAATTAGCAATGAGCCCAAGTTCATCTGTTCTCTGGTAAAGGGACTAAGTGTTTTGCTAACCTGGGTTGTTCTCAGACTGTTGGTTGAACTAAAGCCTTCTCTAAACCATAGTACATGGGCAAGTGACCTGTTGTGTGGTTAAGTGGTACAAATATAGCAACTTTTCAGGTGCCTGGGTGGCTCAGTGGGTTAAAGCCTCTGCCTTCAGCTCAGGTCATGATCTCAGGATCCTGGGATCGAGCCCCGCATCGGGCTCTGTGCACAGCAAGGAGCGGGCTTCCTCCTCTCTCTCTGCCTGCCTCTTTGTCTACTTGTGATCTGTGTCTATCAGGTAAATAAATTTTTAAAAAATCTTAAAAAAATAGCAACTTTTCAAAGGAGATGTTAGTAGTTTGCTATTGTTGGTGTGTGGGGTGTGTGTGTGTGTGTGTGTGTGTGTGTGTGGTTTCTCCAGCTATATCTAACGAATTTATTTTGGCTACCCAGGCTATGCATATTGATACTGGTCAAGTGTCCAAATAAATTGGAATCTTGGGATACCAGGGTCTGAGACTGGGTTCAAGGTGAGGTTCTTGAACTCCCTGATAATCTGAACTCTCTCCTTAGAGAATTTCAGGGAATGTCTGCCCTTTGTATAGTTCTACTTAGGTTAGGAGAGTCAGAGTGGTAGGGTGTTCATGAGGCCAGTTTTACAGAGCATGGCTTTCTTCAGACAAATGTCTTCCCTTCCTTATAGCTCAGGGCGGATTCCCCAGTCCACCTCAAGTCAAGAATGCTATTGGGGTGGAAGCTAATTGTCCTTCCAAACTGTGCTCTTGTCTTCTTCCACAGCAACAGAGCTACAACCTGCATGTGAGTACCCTGTCAGGACTGCATTCTTCAGGATCCTTTGTAGCAAATGTTGGGCATGTATCTTGGCTCTTGCCAATGAAATGTGGGCAGAGAGGAAGTGTACAATTTCTGCTTTGCTTGCTTAAGAGGAACTCCCTGACCTTGAACTTCTACTTGTTCCCCCTTTCTCCAAGAATCGTGACCCTGAATACCTCATTTGCAAGATGGCAGAACTACCATCAGCCTGGGTTCCTGAGTGGCCACAAGGATCAGAGTTGCCTGCTGGCATGAAATTCTGACCTTGGAGTTGTTACGTAAGAGAGGAATAAATTTCTTTGCTCTTTAAGCCACGTGATTGTTAGGTCTCTTCTTTTTTAAAAATTTTAATTCTTTTATTTGATATAGTTGACATACAATGTTACATTAGTTTGCAGTATACAACATGTTGATTCAACATCTCTATACCTTGTGCTATGCTCATGTTAGTTCTCTTCTTAAAGTCACTTACTGATCCACCTGTTTTATCTAGTAACTTACTGATCTCTGGAGCCCAAACAGTTGTTAGTTTCTTCTTTAGTCAATAAGAATTCATTATTTTAGGGGCGCCTGGGTGGCTCAGTGGGTTAAAGCCTCTGCCTTCGGCTCGGGTCATGGTCCCGGGGTCCTGGGATTGAGCCCCATATCGGGCTCTCTGCTCAGCGGGGAGCCTGCTTCCTCCTCTATCTCTGCCTGCCACTCTGCCTACTTGTGATCTCTGTCTGTCAAAAAAATTAAAAAAATCTTAAAAAAAAAAGAATTCATTATTTTATTGGAGCCACTATTCCAAAGAGAAGAACAGAGAAAAATATAAACTCTACGGGTCCTTTGTTCTTGGAATAACACACAGTGGGCACCATCAGAATTTTCAGTGAGTTCCTTCCCTGGGCAGTACCAATCCACACCTAATTTCCAGGTCTGGTTAAGAGTAAACTAGTGTGCGGAAGGGACAGAGCAGCTAATAATTTTCTTTGTTCCATCCTTCTTGCAGCCACACTCTACCCCATAGAGTTGCTTGCTTGAGTTTCCAGACACTTCCTTTATATTTAACCATGAGAGACTGTGCTTCATCCAGTCATGAAGCCTTCTTGCTCCTGCTACTTTAAACATAAGTGTGGACTATTTTGGAATGGAAATTATGAGTTTGGGAGGAAAGCCCCATTTTTCTGATCTGTGCTCTGGATCTGGCAGCTTCTACAGCTTTCCCAAGGAGCCACAACTGTGAGCCTTAGATGCGTTGTCTTATCTCTACTATGCTCTGTGCACAGGATATCATGTGTGAGGCTGGCAGGGGGACAGGTGGGATAAAGAAATCACATTCATCAGAACAAGCTGGTCAATTTCCCTCTGTAAGGAGTTTGTCTAACATCCAGTGGTTTCCTCCAAAAAAGATAGCGTGCTTTCCTAACTCACAGATAAGATTAGTGCATAGAATCACTGTCTACAGATCCTCGGCTGCTTTTCAGCTTTAATCTTCTTGAGCACTTTTTGGCTTTTCTAGACATGTACAAAGTGTAAATCTCAATGTTTACAATCTGTAAAATCCTAGGAGAGCATATGAGGTTTTTGTAATATATTGTAATCGTTAATAAATGATAGGAATCTATTAAACTCAATGTATCTTAAACGAAACTTCCGATCTCTTCAGTCCAACTTCTGCTACCCACGGCTACCTCATCTCAGGTGACAGTAACTCCATCTTCACTGCTGCTCAGGTTAACAGACCCTGTCATCCTTGACTCCTTTTACGCTCATCTCACAACCAATCTGTCAGAAATCTTGCTGGCTCTACTTTCAGAATCTTTCCAGAATCTGATTCCTTTGTACCACCTCCACTGTTGGCACTCTGGAGGAGCTGCCAACATCTCCTGCTTGGATTAAGTGGCCTCCTAACTCCTCTTGCTTCCTCCTCCACCCACCCTCCAATGCACACAAACACACACACATACATGTGCACATGCACACATGCAAGTGCATGCACACACACGTGCCCTGTGTATTCTCAGCAGGACAGCCAGAGAGATGCGTTGAAAGTGGAAGTTAGGTTACTGCACATATCTACTCAGAATCTTTTAAATGACCCTCCACTTTGCTTTGAAGAAAATTCCAAGTCCATACAAGAGTCAATAAAGGTGTTGTCACCTTTCTGACCTCATTGCCTACTCCTCTCCCCCTTAGTCAGATCCCACCCTGGTGGGTTCCTTGTTGCTTCCGGATCACATCAGGCATGCTCTTGTCATAGGGCATTTTCTTGCTCTAGCTCATTCTTAATGCTCTGTCCTGGATGTCTGCTTGGAAACTCTCTCGCCTTCCTTAGGACTTGGCTCAAACATCTCCTTCTTCATATGATCCACTTCGATGACCCTATTTGTGCTACCACTTCCTTCTCCACCCACTAACCCTATTTAATCTTTCCATATCGCTTACTGCCCTCTAATGTATGAGGTAATTTACTTACTGTGCTTATTGTCCCTCCCACTCACCACCTACAATTATGTTTGTTTACTGGAAGAATGAATGAATGAATGAAACATACACACGATGAGTTGATTCTTGCATGACTGTGAGGTGAACCGAAGTCATCAGCTTCTCCAGAGACTGAGGCTGTCGACATTATTTTCCTTCTTAAACAGCAAGGATGCAGTAGCAGGAAAGTGCTGGACTCCGAGGACAAGACTTTCCTGAAAGTGAACCAAAAATTATAGAAAGGAATCTTGGGATGACAGCCCTGGTACACTCTCCCATGTAATGTTTTGGGATGATTGACCCGGGAGGTAGAGAACACTGTTTTTGGTGTTAGGACTTATCCTCATTGTTAATGAGAATCTTAGTGACTGAGAAAAGCAGGGTGGATTGAGTTCCCTGCCGCCTGCACAAATATTTCCTGGTCTGGTTTCAGGTGTCCCTCTCCTTAGGTGGGTTTGCCACTGTGGGATTAAAGTGACTCAGATTCAGAGCCTGGACTGTCACAGTGGTGCTGACGCACGTGCAGTATCTTGGATCTCTATTCTGTTCCTCAATCACGTTCATCTTTGGGCTGAAACAGCAGACTTGGTCAGTGGAACCAAATACCTGAACCCGAGCAGCCCGGGGTGTTTGCTGTCACTCCGGTTCCCTGATTCCCAGCCTGCCCCACCTCTGGTGGCATTAAAGTGAGGGGCGAAGGCAGTGAGCATAAAACAGCGATGGCTGGGAGAAGGTGACTAAATGGAAAGACCAGGTGGGTTGCTACCTAAAGAGAAGGAAGCAGGCTGAACACAGTGGCCCTAGTTTGTGTGCCCCTTACTCTCTGGCGTGTTCATCCATTATGGTCGCTGGTGACATGAGGAACACGCTCTTTACTTTTCTCCATGAAATATGGAAAGAGCTCCTTCTTATTCAAACTTGAAACCATTGCCAATAGGGGAGGAATATACTTTTCCAAATTTTAGAAGCAAAAGTTCCTTTAAAACGTAAAGATTAGGGACGCCTGGGTGGCTCAGTTGGTTGGACGACTGACTTCGGCTCAGGTCATGATCCTGGAGCCCTGGGATCGAGTCCCGCATCGGGCTCCCAGCTCCACGGGGAGTCTGCTTCTCTCTCTGACTTTCTCCTTGCTCATGCTTTCTCTCACTGTCTCTCTCTAAAATAAATAAATAAAAGCCTTTAAAAATAAATAAATAAATAAATAAATAAATAAAACGTAAAGATTAGGGGCACCTGGGTGGCTCAGTGGGTTAAGTCCCTGCCTTTGGCTCAGGTCATGATCTTGGGGTCATGGGATCGAGCCCTGCATTGGGCTCTCTGCTCAGCAGGGAGCCTGCTTCTCTGCCTGCCTCTCTGCCTGCCTCTCTGCCTTCTTGTGATCTCTCTGTCAAATAAATTAAAAAAAAAACAACAAAAAACCAAAAACAAACAAACAAACAAAACCCGTAAAGATTAGAAGGCTCTTGAATGACCCTCTGACCACGAACGCGCTTTCCAAGACATTCCGCATGAGACTTCCAGCCTAAAGGACATGTACCATTTCACACGTCCAAACCCAGGCACTCCACTCCACCTCTCTCAAGCTGGTTTCAGCCACCAGGAAGTTTATGAACAGCAAATTACCTTTGCTCAGCTGCGTTCTGAATATACACACTACAGGAGCAGTAGTAATTGGGAGGGACCAACGCACTGGCAGAAGTTTAAAAAACCAACCAAACCCCTTTTCTCCAAAAAAAGGGAAGAATCCGTATGAAAGAGACCTTTCAGATCTTGGGAGTGTCCAGTGTCGTTCCCAGCAGCCTGTCGAAAGGGCCCTGTGTTGTCCAAACAGCCTCCCGTAGGGTAATTGCCCGAGCAGCCCGTGCAAAAGGAACAGTGGAAAGGTGCAAAAGTCATTAACAGGGAGAAATAGGAAGCAATCAGCAACACTTTAAACAAATTATTGCCATGAAACTACACTCTCAGCTTGAGATAAGTGTCCTGGCTCTGTTAAAGCCATATACACCTCACTAGCTTAAATGAGACGAGGAAAGTTTTCCTCTCCGGTTGTTTATGAAGTGTGAGCCCGCGCCGGACCGCGGTGCCCCAGTCAGGGGGGCTGGCTGCCTGCTCCTTCCCAGGCTTCCTGTGGAGACCTGTTACCTGCCCTGGACTGGGGCAGAGAGGCTTCTCCATACCCGCCTGGACTAGATGCTACCTTTTCAGACGAAACGGGAACCTATGAGGTCGACTGTATTTTATTCAGAAGTCGTTTTGAGGAGAAACGCCCAGGACTTGACCCGGTATGAGCCCGGGGGCGGGGATGTGGGCGTTCGCTGCCCAAACCCGCTCCGTCCCACGCAGCCCAGCATCGGCCTGCAGGAAAGGCTCTTCTCCTTTCCAAGAGTCTTGTCCCTCCCCAGATCCATTCCGCCACGTGGAGGATTCCTGCGTCTGGGCCTTATTTTAGGTCCCATAATCCTCTCTGGCCTCCGCCTTGGACTCGGCTCTTCCAAATGCCCTCAGTCCGCAGTGACTCCCAGTCGGTTGCTGTTGGCTTCTCCACCCACCACCCGGTAACGGTCCGG